TGCTATTTTCAAGATAGAAGTCTCTAGTGAAAACTATGGCCCCCCGGGTCTACTTTTTATCATATAATAAAATCAAAGATACGTTGCTGCATTTTTCTTTACTTATTTTATTTTTTGTTTTATCTATCTATCTATCACTACAAAACTTTAATCTTGCAAGTAATTGTCAAGGGATTGACAACCCCTTATTCGCGTTGGGTGCAAGTATTTGTTATTTTGTATGCAGATACTGCTAATGAGGTGTTGCGTGATTCTCCTAATGGATTGATAACCTTGGTTCTTAACTCAGGGAAATACTTATCTCTACTATACTGCATCATCCCCTCCTCTTCGGGTAAATTCCAACGCAGCACACAAGTAGCAGGAAGAATTTCTTGCGCCGTTGCCCGGCACACATCATCAACATCTATAAATTACCAACGCATAAACTTTCTTGTCCTTGCATTTACATTATTTGCTATTTTCCTCTCGTTTTCATCTCCCCACTTCTAAAAAGATTTTAGAAAAATACATGTTTGTTTTTTGTGTTTACTTTTTATCTTGTTTGCCTAGTCATGATGTCTTAAGAAAATACAAAATTATGTGATTTTTCCAACACTAATAATAATGATTTTATTAGTACTTCAATTGCTCCTCCCGTGACTAGTGCGGAGACTTGTGATACTAATATCGCTTTGTTAAATCTTCTTATGAAAGAATAATTTTCTGGTAGTCCTAATGAAGATATTGCATCCCATCTTAACACTTTTGTAGAATTGTGTCATATGCAAAAGAAAAAAATATGTGGATAATGATATTGTCAAATTAAAATTATTCCCCTTCTCATTGCGAGATTGCACTAAAATTTGGTTCTCATCTTTGCCACGAAATAGTATTGATTCTTGGGATAAGTGTAAAGATGCTTTTATTATCCAGTTTTTTTCTCCCGTGAAAATTATTTCTCTCAGAAATCAAATTATGAATTTCAAGCAACTTGATCATGAACATGTTGCCCAATCTTGGGAGAGGGTGGAATTAATGATTAGAAATTGCCCTACTCATGGTTTAAATTTATGGATGATCATACAAAAAATTTATGTGGGATTGAACTTTGTTTCTAGAAATGTTTTAGATTCCACCGTGGGTGATACTTTTATAGAAATTATGCTAGGAGAGGCTACCAAATTTCTTGATAATATTATGGCAAATTGTTCACAATGGTATACCGAAAGAACTCCTGCTAGTAAAAAGGTGAATTCGATTGAAGAAATTAGTACTTTGAGTGATAAATTTGATGCGCCTATGAAATAGGTTGCTAGTAAAAATGCTCCTATTGATCCTAATGGTTTGCCATTGTCCACTTTGATTGAGCAAAATAATGACCCCGTAGATGTGAATTTTGTCTCGCGAAACAATTTTAATAGCAATACTTATAGAGGTAATTTTAATCTTACGTCGTTTCCTGGAAATTCTCTAATAATTATGGCAATTTCTATGGTAATTCTTATAACAACAACAACAACAACAACAACAACAACAACAACAACAACAACAATAATAATAATAATAATAATAATAATAATAATAATAATAATAATAATAATAATAAGGGATAATTGGTTTATGCCCTTAGTTGTGTCCCACTCGACAGGATTGCCCCTAATTTCCAAAAGCCGGCGGTTCTGTCCAACCCACTTTGGTCGTCTTGTGCTTTTGCCCTTTGACCGTTTGACCGTCACTTTGCAAACTTCATAACTAATTCATACTAAGTCAGAAAAATGCAAATAAGATACCAAAATGTTCGAAAAAACATCACTTGTATGTCAATGTCACTTGCATTCATGACAAAAGTGTTGGTAAGTGGCCATCCGAGTTTTAGCTCTTATCACACCACCATGAACAGTAAAATCTTAAAAAGTTCAAAAAAATCCAAAAAAATTGGTGTCAAAGAATGACAAATGTTTTAAGTGGTTGCCAAGTTTCAATAGGGAATGACATTTCTGGAAGTCATGGCAAAAAACAATCTATTTTGGAGTGTTGATTGTTTTTTTTGCCATGACTTCCAGAAATGTCATTACGTGATGAAACTTGGCAAGCACTTAAAATATTTGTCATTCTTTGACACCAATTGTTTTTGGATTTTTTTAACTTTTTAAGATTTTACTATTCATGGTGGTGTGATAAGAGCTAAAACTCGGATACACACTTACCAACACTTTTTTCATGAATGCAAGTGACATTGACATACATTGATGTTTCTCCGAACATTTTGGTATCTTATTTGCATTTTTCCGATTTAGCATTACTTAGTTATGAAGTTTTCAAAGTGATGGTCAAACGGTCAAAGGGCAAAAGCACAAGATGACTAAAGTGGGTTGGACAGAACCGCTGGCTTTTGGAAATTAGGGGCAATCCTGTCGTGTGGGACACAACTAGGAGCATAAAACAAAATATCCCATAATAATAATAAAAATAATAATAGTAATAGTAATAGTAATAATAATAATAATAATAATAATAATAATAGGATGCCCTTTGATGTTGAAAGTAATGTTAAAGAATTTATTAATGCTCAAAAAGTTTTCAACACTAGATAGAAGGAAATTGAGTAAACTTGATGATATGTCTAGAAGTATGGATAGAATCGTTCGTGATGCGGAAAATCTCAAGTCTAAAATCTTGCCACCCAAGCTTGTTATTAATGAATCAATTAAAAATCTTTATGTCTCCATAGATGAGAGTAAAGAAAGAACCAATAGGTTGAGGGCTAAGCAAGAATTCTTAGAAAAAGTGACTCCGCCCGGTTTTTATCGTAGTAATGATGGAGTTATTAAAATGATTGGTGTTAGACTCATTGAATCTTTATTTAGCAATGTAAGACTTGATGAAAAGGAGACTGAAGAAGAGTCAACTTTAGCCGGAATGCATTCCCATAGTTCGGAGGGTGAAAATCTAAAAGAAAAAAATCGATAAAAGTGGGTTTCGAGAGGTAAACAATGATGTGTCCACTCTTTTGGATTACAAAGACTTTAATTATGATAGTTGTTCTTTGATTGAATGTATTTGTTTATTGCAATCCATGTTAAATTCATCCTATGCTTATGAACAAAATAAAGATTTTACTAAGCATATTGTAGAAGCGATGGTGAAAGCTTCAGAAGAAAAGGTAGAATTGGAGGTTTCAACGGGAAAATCTCAACACATCTCACAAGTAGCGCCAACCGTTGCTTACGGTGGTGCGTACACGTTTGAAGGGGGGAGGCCAGGGAGGTTTTTACCCAACATTAGTGGCAACATGATCTTCAAATTGATCCACCTTCTCCCGTGACATAGACTTAGTGTCGGCCCCATAGGACTTCATTGCTGGCATTGTGTCGTTATACCTTTTTATTTGGACGCCGATAAGTGCCACACGTGTGGGTGTTAGGGAGACTGCTCACGTATTTTGTGTGGTGTATAAGAGGAACAGCCCACACACCTACGTGTGGGCAAAACAAGTAATGCCCACACACCTCTTTCCCCCTCCCATCCCTCTCACACGTGTGTGTGTGGGCGAAGTAGATAACGCCCACATGCCCCGTATGTCAGGCCTCGTACCTCATGGTCCCGCACGCCACGCGTGACAGTCACCACGCGCCCGCAGTTGCCATGGTCCAGACCCTCGTCCATGTTCGTTTAACTGCAGTTGCCATGTCGCTGAACTACGGTTGCCATGTCGGACAACTACAGTTGCCATGTATGGTCTGGTCTACTGTAATTGCCATGATTTCAAAACTTTAGGAGTTGCCACATACTAACACTAGGCAGTTGAGAGAGTTGCCATGTGCTCACAAGCATGCTAGGGCGGTTGCCATGTAAAAAGGAAGAGTTGCCATCTGCTTACGTGCACGTTAGAGCAGTTGTCATGTACCATGCAAAAACACATGGCAACTTGGTAAAGAGAGAGTTGTCATCTGCTTACGTGCACACTAGAAAGTTGCCGTGTACCCTGCAAAACACATGGCAACTCGGGTAAAAAGAGAGTTGCCACCTGCTTATAAAGCGCACTAGGGCAGTTGCCATGTGCGCTGCAAAACATATGGCAACTAGCAGCTTGGGTGTGAGAGAGAAGACGGACGTGTGGGTGAGATGGCAAATGCCCAAACACTAGCCTTTGTGCGTGCGTGGAAAGTGGCGTGTGGGCGTACTGCTGAACGTTCACACACCAGCCCCTCCCGTGTGGTGAAACGGCCGTGTGGGCGACCGGGTGACGCTCACACACCAGGTCAGTCCTATGTGGCACTAAAAACATGTCAAGATTCGTGCGCTCACGGACGGACGCAGATCCACGCGTGTGGGCAAGATGCAAACGCCCACACATGTGAGCGTTAAATTTCCGTTTTATTTTTGTTGAACATGTTTCTGTAGGCCGTGTGCATAGCTATCCAGAGACCGGATATCGCGTCATATATATGTTACGCTTAATGCTACATTTTAATAAGTTAATAAAAGCTTCCTTTGTTGAAAAGATGTTTTTTGGATTTAAAATTGCACTACGTAGGTATTGGATAAAATGCTATGATCGAAATGGCAGAGGATTCCTCAATTCAAAAGGGCAGAGAATTTTCAAAAATAAATTCCGCATTCCAAATTGGGAAGAGCTGACCTGCGTAACCACCGGTAGGATAAATAAACTGAAGCTAGCTGACACGGCATCAACTATCAACTGTTGCATTGGCTTCCCGCTAAAAATAATAGTACGTATTTGTTGCATTAGCATCACACACTCTACAACTCTACGCAGAGAGTGAGACAGAGTAGATAAATACGGGCACATGATCCGCGGTCCCATCCCCATGTGTCGTCTCTCCCTCTCTTAATTGCAGCAGGTCTACTCTCTACCTCACGCTGCCCCCGTTTCCCTCCATTACCACGGCAGCTCTACTTTCTCTCTCTCCACCGTACAGCTCGCTCGAGCTCATCTCCTTCCTCAGTTCATTCGTCTCCCGGTAATCCGTTCGCTCAAACCGTGTAGGGTTCCAATGGGGAAGAAAGGCCTCACCTCCATCTTTTCCAAGCTCCCCGCCGGCGCCGACGAGCCTTCTCCGCCGTGGCCGTGGCCGTCGTGCCGGAATCCCCAGACGGCCTCCTTCCGTGAGGAAGACCGCCACCGGCCCTGCAGAACCGCCGCCGCCGTCAGCAGGAGCCCCGCGGCTGCGGCGAGGCTCATCCACGGCGGCGCCGGGGAAATGTACAAGACGGTCAACTCCGTCTACCAGCTTGACTACATCTCCGCCGACGGCTCCTGCTTCGACGACGAGGAGGAGGCGGGGCAGGACGTGCTGGAGCTGGATGACGATGATGGTTTCTCGACGACGACCGCGTCGGAGGAGTGGTCTGAGGCGGTGATCCGCAGCCTCGGCCGCACGTCCACCGACCGCTTCTTCGTCGACCCTCCGGGCCCGGCGTCCAACTCCATCTTGGCGCTTTCGCCGGCGAAGCAGTCGGCGGCAGCACCAGCGGACGAGGCCGAGGAGAAGCCGCAATCGGAGCCGTTGGCGTCGACGTCGCTGGTGGAGGAGAGCGTGGCGGTGGCGGTGGACTCGGAGGACCCGTACGGGGACTTCCGGGCGTCCATGGAGGAGATGGTGGCCGCGCACGGGCTGCGCGGCTGGGAAGCGCTCGAGGAGCTCCTCGTGTGGTACCTCCGTATCAACGGCAAGCACAACCACGCACTCATCGTCGGCGCCTTCGTCGACCTCCTGGTCGGCCTTGCGGCCCCGCCAGCGTCGTCCTCTTCCGCCGCGCCAACCACCACCACCACAGCGACGACGATGACGACCACCAGCGCCAGCGGCGGCAGCGGGAGCACCGCCAGCACCAGCACGTCCAGCAGCACATGTGGCTGCGAGGGCGACGTCACTCCCGCCACCGCAACGACAGAGGAGCAATGCGGCGGCCGGAACGGCGACGCCTCGCGCTCGCCTGCTTCATCAAACCACAGCCTGCAGTGCAAGGACGACGAGGAGGAGGAGGAGGAGGAGGACCTCGCCGGCGACAAGGCAGGTGACGATCTTAGCATCATGAGGAGTGCACACTAGCTTCTTGATTAGTTAACCGTCAAAATGTCATCGGTTATTCGAGATCTCGAGAGCACTACCACGGGCGGCCCTGTTTGATTAGCGGCCCACTTGGAACGCCAGAATTTCCCAAGAATTTGTGTTAGTTTCCACGAAATTCTCGTGAAATTTTCGCTTTCCAAACAATCGCACCAATTCATGTTTATTTGTTCACCTCTCCTTCAATTTTTAAAATGTGATGACACCACAATCATACGGAGTGTTTACAAACATTTCGGGGGCATCGTTGGAGCCTGGAGGGATACATTGGGATCCAATGTATAGTACGTGAACAGAAAAAAAAAACAGGAGTACTCCCACTGAAATCAATAGTCGTAAGCTTAAACAGCTATTCATCCATCCATCCATCAATTACTGCGAGTTACTACTATACTGATGAGGCACCGACCGCTGGTTAACGTAAATCAGAAATAAAGCTGCAGATTTCGGCGGTGCAAATACGCGCACAGCGACGTGCTGGTGGGCAGGGCAGGTCGATGCACAGACATATTTAATGTGTACAGCACCACAAGCCAATCAATTTGATCAATGTACACACATGCATGTGCCTGCGTACACATGCACGCTTGGCAGTAGGACTAACCACCACTACGTCTACGTGGTTATGTGATTAGACGAAGTACGTGTACCTAATTTCAGTGTTCTCTGTGGAACAAAAAAAAACACAGAGTACGTGAACAGCAGAAAGCCGGTGCTAGTGGTACACGTAGTATTGATTAGCAGGCGAGACGAGAGGCCGACGTTGCGTCGATGACAGGTCGCCGTCGATCGTGGTGGTAGCGTGTGATGAGCCTGTGACTGATCGCACTGGGGCGGGCGGCGAGTTTGAATGCGGTCCATCTCTTCGGTGCCCCTCCCTGTATTCCGTGCGCCCCCATGCTTTCCTCCTCAAGATATAAATGAAGTGCTGGCAGTACTAGTATTCTGAAGGTCAGGATCTCAAAGTGCGTCCGGCTGCGAATTTCCGACAATTTCCTCTCTCTTACTTGTACCATTATCCGAGGATCCTTACCGCCGTGCAGTTAAAACTGCATTCAGTTTGGGGATCACATTATTATCTGCCTCAGTACGTCGTCGTCCTGAAAATGCACAGATCGTTTTTGAATCGAACTCAGTTGAATAGTGCTACTCCGAAACCCGCGCATGTTGGGGACGCCGAAATGGTCAAACAATAAGCCGCTCTTTGCTTTGCAATCGATCGATCCCCGTGCAGTGGACGGAAAAAGAGAGATTCTTCCCTGGATAACGCACGCTTCCACTGCACCGCAGGGCTTGTCACTACGTGGCGGAACCTTCTAAACCGTCTGTATCTGTGTATACACTTGTTAATCTTGGGTGATGCGTGCCCGCTTTTCTCTCATTTTAAGGTACCCGTCTAGCGCTTATTTTACGTTGTCCTAGACCGACTGAAATTTTCGTACTGGCGCTGCTAGTTCACTAGGCACTACTAGTATCTATGTAGGAATCAAGTTTCATAATAGCACTCCGTGGTGTACCACACTCCATTTCATAGAGATAGAATGCAATCAAAACAGTGGGCCGTGCTAGTGGTACTTCCGACTAGGCCATCGACCCTTTCCGTTCGAAAATATACCGGGGAGTAAAACTGTAATATTCGTCTCGGTCAAACAGATTGTGGACAGGGTAGAAGCACGCAGTACTGACGTTAGAGAAACCTAAGGTATTTTGTTCACATGAAATAATAAAACCGAAGTTGTAGTCGTGGTGGGGTAAGAGCCCGTTTGGGTCGGCCAGGCGGACACGAGCGTTCGCTTCCGCGTTTGGGTCGGCGCGTGCGTTCAACGCTGACGCGACCCATTTGAATGGCGTAAAAAAAATAAATTCATGTGTATTTAACATAAAAACAAAAGTTAATTAAATAGTAAAGCCGACCACGAAGGCTGGCGGTAATCCATGCGTCCACATTAGCATTTAATAAAAATAAAAACAAACTAAAAAACTAGGCGCGCTGCCCTAGGCATCGTCGTCGTCGTCCTCGGGGTCTGTGCGGTCGATGAGCGTCGGCGCCGGACCGGCCCAGCCGAACGCCGTGTTCCAGAGGGTGGCCATGTTGGGCGCGGGTTGTGCCGGTGCTGGCAGTGCCGCCGCGGCCTGGTGCGCCTCCTCCTCGGCCTCGAACCGCTCGGCGTCGGGCTCGAGCATCTCGAGGTACTCGTCGTGGCGGCGCTCCTCAGCCACCCAGACCTGCCGCCAGTGCTCAAGGTACGCCGCCTCTTGCTCCGGCATGGCCCGCATCCAGACCGGCGGCGCCCTCATCCACTCACGCAGTATTCTCGTCCAGGAGTAGCGCTCGATGGGCTCCGGCTCCGGCTGCGGCTCGGCTTTGGCGAGGCGGCGGGGAGGGGATGGCGGGGTCACCGGCGGAACCACGCAGTCGCCGGCCGCGGAGAGGGCCATGGCCGCCTCGTACCGAGCTTCTTCTTCTTCTGCCGCCTCCGCCCCGCGCCACTCGTCCTCCTCGCTCTCCCGTTAGACGGCCGCAAGGGCCGCCTGGTCTTCCTCCCGGACGATGAGCGGTGGCGGCGGCAAGCTGTGGTCGACCTCGCGCACCCCGCGCCACCTCGCCTCCTCGTGCTCGAAGATGAACTAGCGCGCCCAGTTGGGCGACTCGAAGGCGTAAGCCTGGTCGCGGCGCTGCTCCGGCGTCAGGAGCGCCCCCCGACGACGCACCTCCTCCGCGTGCGCCTTAGCCGACCGCGGCGCCACAGGCACTGGGATCCTCTCCGGATCCAGATCCCAGTCGTGCGGCAGGGTCAAGTCGGGGTATGGCAGAGGCACGCGGTGGCGCTAGTGCCACTCTGCCTGGTGCACGGGCACATTCACCCGTTGCCTCTGCCGGTGAGCCGGTGCAGGCGGAGGCGGGGTGAACTCTGCGGGGGAGGGGATAGCGGGGGCCTTGCCCTTCGACTTGCTGCGGCTGCCGGCGCCGGAGAAGAGCCCCATTTGGACGGCTAGGGTGGCTAGGGTTGGCTAGGGTTTGCTTGCCGGCGACGGGGGAGCGAGTGTGGCCGGGAACTGGATGAGGACGGCCCCGCCACACGATCGGCTTACAAAAGGACGACTGCCTTCGCTGACGCGTGGGCCCAGGTTCATAAATTAAGCTGAACGGCGAGGTGGCGGATAGTTGGGCGACCGCCAGGTAGGGCCGCGGCGGACATCGAGAAGGCGCGTGTGGCGTCCGTTCCGCGTCCGCGCCGACGCATTTGGGGCGCAAATTTGGACCGCAAGTGTGTTGGCGCGGACGCGAAGCGGACACGTTCTGGGTTTGGGTTGCTGTGTTGGGCTTTCTCTTTTGTTCGCGCGGAGCCAAACAGACAGCGGCGGACGAAATGGATCCTCCGGTTGGAGTTGCTCTAAAATGGCGGTTAAAAACCGGGGAGCTGAATTAAGAGCATTTCCAGCCGCGCCCCTAACAGGCCCTCCCCAGGCGTTTTTTTCGTGCCGGCGCCGAAAAAACGGCCCAGTCGCCCCCCAGAAGCCCGTTTTTCGGCGGCTCGGGCCGAAATTGGTGTCGGCGGACCCAAGCAGAACCCGGCGCCCTGGGGGGCGCCTGGAGCGCCGGCACAAGCGAAAAGGGGCGTGTGGGTCCGCCCTGTCGGCGAGTCGAGCGCCTCTTCCCGCCGTTTCTTCCTGCTTTCCCCCACTTCCCTTCCATTTGCCCCTTTCCTCCCGCCATTCTCCCTCCCGCTCGCCTCCCAGCCGGCCGCCATGCCACCGAAGAAGTATGTCGTCCCACGCGCCATGGCAACCGCTACCGCCTCCGTCCCCCAGCCGAAGCAGAGGAAGCCGAGGGCGCTGTCGTCCAAGCCACCAGGCATGTCAAACGCCGATTGGAGGGTGGAAGTGCAGCGACGGGAGGCCGTCACCGCTGACCGGCGGAACAGGGCCCTCGCCCAGAAGGCCCGTGACAACGTGGCACGCGCGGCTGCGGGCGCCGCTGCCGCCGACCAGGCCGAGGCCGAGGCGGCTCGCGCGGGGATGATGAATCCCCCCGGCAACCATGCGCAGTACGCGCCCTGGGGGTCGCCGGGCTACGCGGCGGGGACGCACACGGTGGGTTCAACCCGAACGTCGCTTTCCCCCATGTCCACCAGGCCCAGCGCACGCCCTCGCCCACCTTCGCCGGCGTGCAGTACCCTCCATACAACTACTCGCCGCTCGCGTACGCGTCCTCCCCGACGCCCCTCTCCGCCATTGCGCGCTGCCCTTCTCTCACCTCGGCGGCGCCAACGAGACCGTTGCCGACATGCACGACATCATCGCGGAAGGTTCGGCCGCGGCCGCCGCGTCTCCCGGGTTCATCATGGACGAGACGATGGATCTCAGCGGCGGCATGGACGGCAAGCTCGGCTACGTCTACGGCGATGAGAAGCAGGAGGAGGAGGACGAGGAGGAACCGGCGAGGGGGCGCAAGAAGAAGAAGGCGCCGGCCAGGCCAGAGCCGCGCATCAAGTGATCGTCCAAGGAGGATGAATGCCTCGCCGAAGCATGGAAAGTCGTCTGCCTCGACCCGACCACCGGCGCGAACCAGAGCATCGAGACATACTGGGCGCGCATCAAGGCCGAGTTTGACGAGCGCAAGCTCGTCGACCCCTACTTCAAAGGCGTCTACATGCAACGCGGGGCAAAAGCGATGGCGAACCATTGGGGACGTATCCAGGGGGTGTGCAACAAATGGCATGGGGTCGTCGAGGAGGTCGCCGGTCGCCCGGAGAGCGGCGCTAGCATTGAGGATCAGGTATGCCACGCCGGTCTCCCGCCTCTTTTCGCCGTTCATCCGCCAACTGTTTGTTCGTCCCCGCGCAGTTGCTGCGTATGTTCGGCCTATATCGGCAGGGCAACAACGACGCCGAGTTCAAGTTCCTCCACGTCTACAAGCGCATCAACAAGTGCGACAAGTGGGCGGAAATCCGGCACACCCTCGAGAAGGCCAAGGAGAC